TATATATTTTATGATTGTGTATAGAGAGTGTAATTAGAATTTATTTCTATGGTCTTTATGACTTTATGCAGTAATTGTGTCTACAATTTTACGGATTATTGCTCTATATCTTGATTTTAGACTGTATTTTGTTGTTCAGGGACTACAGATGGAAACTAGCGTGAGCTAAATCTGGTGCAAAGCATCTTTTTAATGTTTTATTTGCACATTGTCCCTGTTTTTAAATAAAGGAATTCTAAAAATTCTATTTAGTTTCARGTTGGGTCAAACATTTAGGATCTAAAGAAGCTTTAAATGTCTGTCGACTTGTTTCTGCCTGGGTGAGTGGTACTTTAGGTAATTATGCTATCGCTAATGCTAACAACCAGTTAACCCCTCTTATTTCTATCTACTTGTAAATAATTTATTTAGCTTCTGGAAACCCAAATTCCAGTAACTGTCCAATAAAATATCTGAAAGTAAGATTGAAACGATACGATCCTGACCTGTTAGAAAGTGATCRCTGCAAACTCTTACCCTGTTCATTTCCACACCTCTTGTTTTTAGCTGTAGATTGTTGATCAACTTTTGTTGTCTTTTTTCTGAAACACTTCCAGAACATGAAAAAATTGCATCAAAGCATTTTTCTTTGCTCTCCCTGTGATGTTCATCTGCACTCTGTTTTTCCTTTTTGACTTTTGATTTCACACACAATTTAATACAAATTACAAGTTATTTTCTGTTTTGATTTACTGGCCCTTTGGTTTGTCGTGACAGAAAGACATTTTTTTAAATCACATGCTTCTCTGGGTCATTATTATCTTTATTTTTATAGAACAATTCGACGTTTGAAGCATTAATTCAAGATCCATGATCCATGAACTGTGGTCGTGCTGTAAGAGTTGTTCAGGATATTTTTGATTAAATTGTTGTTTTGTTTTTCCTCTCTGGTTTAGGAGCGGTGGTCATAGCCTTCGTGGTGTGCTGGCTGCCGTATCACGCTCGCCGCCTCATGTTCTGCTACGTCTCCGACTGGTCCGAGTAAGTCATCATTTTCTCTGCCGGCTGTTCAGGCGAGCAGAAACACAACAAGTTCATTTTGAGAGTCATCAGTTAGGAGCGGCTGAAAAAGTGCAGAGGAGCTCCGTCTTGCTGATTAGATTGTCTTCGTTTAACATTCCCATCACTTCCCTTCCTTCACTTGCTCCTTCCATCTTTTTATTTTTCTATTTTTACACTTCTGATATGTTGTTTCCCTGATTAAATCAAACAGACACCATTCCAGTGAATTAATATCAGCACATGAAAAGTCACTTCCATTTGCTCTAACAAGGCAGACAAACAGCAAAGAGAAACACAAACACTCAGTAAGTACACAGAGTACACAAACTGTACTGTTTGGTTTACCTCAGCTTTTATTAAAACAACAAAGTTTCAAACAGTCTACTGATGAGTGTACATACACGGTACTTATTGGTACATACAGTCTACTGATGAGGGTACGTACACGGTACTTATTGGTACATACAGTCTACTGATGAGGGTACGTACACGGTACTTATTCTGTACTTATTGGTACATACAGTCTACTGATGAGGGTACGTACACGGTACTTATTGGTACATACAGTCTACTGATGAAGGTACGTACACGGTACTTATTGGTACATACAGGTTACTGATGAGGGTACGTACACGGTACTTATTGGTACATACAGACTACTGATGAGGGTACATACACGGTACGTATTGGTACATACAGACTACTGATGAGGGTACATACATGGTACTTATTGGTACATACAGACTACTGATGAGGGTACATACATGGTACTTATTGGTACATACAGACTACTGATGAGGGTACATACATGGTACTTATTGGTACATACAGACTACTGATGAGGGTACATACATGG